GGGCATGGCTAACTCACAGATTGAACCCTGAAACTACCTCTGGGCTGATCTAAGTCGGGGCATGGCTAACTCACAGATTGAACCCTGAAACTACCTCTGGGCTGATCTAAGTCGGGGCATGGCTAACTCACAGATAGAACCCTGAAACAACCTCTGGGCTGATCTAAATCAGGGCACGGCTAACTCACGGAATGAAACTTGAAACAACCATTGGGCTGATCTAAGTCAGGGCACGGCTAACTCACGGAATGAAACTTGAAACAACCATTGGGCTGATCTAAGTCAGGGCATGGCTAACTCACAGAATGAAACTTGAAACAACCATTGGGCTAGAATCAAACCTGAGACCCAAGAGAGAGAGGCAAGTGGAGTATCACTACATCACCCTTGATTGCCATGCGTACTGTAGACCATGTTTGATGTGCCACAGTCCTTATTAATCAATATTCTCACATGTTTTATAGGGAGAAGCCAAAGGTACAGAAAAGCAGTATATTGCAGCCCAGGGTTGTCTTCCTGCTACTGTGGAAGACTTCTGGAGTGGGGTTTACCAGGAAAACTCTAGGATTATCGTCATGACCACCAAAGAAGTTGAGCGTGGCAGGGTTAGTAACACTTGTTTGATGCAGTGGCTGTTTTCCTTATGTAAACTCGACTCCAAGGCTCTGATGCCAAACTTGTTTTAGCAGTTTACTTTTTAGGGCTAATTTTTGCCATAATTTATACAGTTATTTACAAATATTAAACTTTTTTTCTCTATTTCAAATAAAAAATAAAAAAGGCTGGCGAAGGTTTTGTTGCATGTCATATGCTGTATGCTTTTTACTGAGCTTGAAGTTTATTATATGCGTATTTCAATAATGATGTTAGCACAGAAGAAAGCTGAAAAAGCATGCAGACAAAGGAAAATCTCATATTGTTGTGACCTTTTCCTGATGGTATCCACTCACCCATAGTGCAGTTTGGGATTGGTATGCAACATGCACCACAACCATTACCAATCGTTTTTAAAATAGCTGCATTGTTCAAAGAAACTGAATAACATTCGTTTTCTAACTAAAACTTTGAATTCTTGCGAAAATGCTAAAATATACACATTCGGGAATTGCTGTTGCTAGCACAGGCAGCCCAAACAAGGTTCCTGTGTATGGTTTATAAGGGAATGTATGGGAGTTATGATAAAGGTCATGACAATAAAATGTTTCACTCAACAATTTGCCTCAAAACTTGCTGCAGTTGTTGCTTTTACTTTGTTCAGTCTTCCGGCGAAACTGCAGATTTTGAAAAAACCCACTAAACGGCCTCAAATCGCGCTGAAACTTCGCCAGAAGACTGAACAAAGTGAAACGTTGAGTGAAACATTTTATTGTCATAACTTTATCATAACTCCCATACATCCCCTTATAAACCATACACAGGAACCTTGTTTGGGCTGCCTGTGTTGCTAGTCGCTTTTTGCCCCACAAACTAGAAACGATCTAAATCAAAAATTTGATGCATTCTTGGAACTATTTCTTGTTTAAATTTCAGAATAAATGTACAAGATACTGGCCTGATCCAGAAACCGTCAAAGATGTTGGAAAATTTCACATCAAACACGTGAAGGAGACTGAACTTCCTGATTACATCCTGAGTCAGTTTGAGCTGACAACTGATGATGATGTAAGTACATGTTGACAAATTGCCCTACTTCACTATGACGTCACATCAAAACAATCTATTGTTTAAACGCAAAGGATCATGGTTGTCGGAGGGGGTCAAATCAACACAAATTCATCGAAAATTGTTCTAAAACCCATATCAATCCATGAAGAGAAGTAGAATAGCCAGCAAACGCTCAGAATATTTTTTTAGTACATATTAACACATATTATATCTGAATACCAGGCCATTTTAGATTAAACTGTTTCGCTAGGAGCAAATTTTGTTGAATTTTCTATTGGATTTGGCGATTCTATTCCCCACATAAACAAGCAGTGACGTCATAGTGAAATAGGGCAATTAAATTTATCAAATAGGTATCAGTTTTCTATGTCTGTCCTATTATTGACGATAAATTGCGTCATCACATTGTCAAAGTAGTGTGGATCCACATACTACTTTGACAATGTGATGACCGAATTGATCGTCAATAGGAAGACAGACACAAAAAACTGACGTCTATTTGTTTTTTACAATAACAAAAACGATAAAAACTTCTCGTTTTTAACGATCAAAACAACCAACGGAAAGAGCGCGCGCTGGTTGACGTCAGCTTTATCTGTCTGTCCTCTTATTGATGATAAAAAATAACCAATCAGCGCGCGAGAAATTTGTAAGTTATTGTGAAAATACCTTTTTACCTTGGGCCCAATGCTGTCCCATTGCTGTTGTTTTGTCCTTTGACATATCTGCCATGAAATCTCGTAATAGGGAATAGATCCCATTACAAACCATGTTTCATTCCCTTGAGTATCATTTCTTTGCTTGGTCTCTTCCTTGATATAAGGGTTTTATTAAGGGTTCTCCAGTTTCCTTCCTCCCAAGAGCGTTTTTAACGCGCTAAACCCATATGTGATTTAGCCGTGCCCTGACATAGATCAGCCCAGAGGTTGTTTCAGGGTTCAATCTATGACTTTAGGCATGCCCTGACTTAGATCAGCCCAGAGGTTGTTTCAGGGTTCAATCTAT